GGCCCGCCGTAGCCGGGGCTTCCCGGGGCGGCCGGAGGACCGGAGCGAGGCCGCGGGCAGGTCCGCCGCTATCCCGGCAGCCTCCTCCTCCTCCTCCTCCTCCCGGCCGTGAGGTAATGAGGGACGGACACTCATAGTCCGCCAGCCTCCCGGCGGCGCCAACACAACCAAGGCCCCAGGGCGGGCGCTCTGCCCCACGCGGAAACCATAGAGACGCGCGCTTCCGCGCCCTCCCCGTCACGTGAGCACCGCACGTGCGGGAACAAACAGTTCCGGGGACGGGGACATCACTCGGCAGCAGCTCCGCACTGCCATTGGTCAGCGGAAGCGATGACGACATTAGGGGGAGGGACGCGAGGCGGGGAGCGTCCATTGCGCGGCTCAAACCGGGGGAGTCTCCGCCGCCTTTATTCCCTCCTCTCCCCCCGGGTGCCCGGAGCGTTGGTGCGGCCCTGCGGGTGTGAGGGGAGAGCGGTTCGGAGAGTGTGAGGACGGCTTCAGTTACAGCCCCGTGTAAGGAATTTGTAGCAGGAGCCATCGATAGCGCAAGGGAACCAACGCAGAAATTACTTGTTTAGTATTTCCAACTGCCAAATCTTCCCTCCACCCTTCTTCACAGCACCATAAAAAACAAAGCAGAAATTTAGTGACTTCGTCAAGGGGTTTAGGACATCTTGTAGAAATAGAGGCTGTGTATTCCACCCTGAGAGAATTCTCTGGCAGCGGGCGGTTTGGAGTCATCCACTGCAGAGGACAAGAGTTGCTGTGGCTGTACGAGGTGGGTTTGGTGTACATTAGGGATGGGCTAGAGAAAACCACAGAGCTCATTCCTATTTCCCTTCTGACAACACCGGTGAAACACACGGGCAAAATGAAGAGCGAACTTTGCATAGGCCACAGTACCCGCACTGCACATTCAACCCCAAGAGACCAACTGGCTAAACCCTTTCAAGACTGCAAAATGGAATTTATGCCATTTCTGATTGAAGCTTAAGAAATAAATAAGAGGCATAAAAATATGAGCTGGAAAAATCTGGTTGAATGTCTGTGGACCTTACTGTATCCTATAGAACAGAATCACAGAATGGTTTAGGTAGGAAAGGACATTCAAGCTTGTTTTTTTCCACGCCCTGCCACAGGCTGGGATACCTGCTACAGTTTGCTCTTGGCCTTCAACATTACAGAATCTACGTGGTTTCCACAGCACAAGAGCAGCACTGTAATTACTACCGTTCTCACGTTATGGAACAGCATCATCCTTTTAAGTCTAGATGGCAGCCTTGAATGCTTATGAAAACTAAGGTTACAAAGAATCAGAACAAATCACGAGCGAGTTCCTAACTTTTGCAGTGTTTACAATAATCATTCCCTCCCTTCTTCACCCCCACCCTGCCACATACCTCACTCCTTGTTGGTAATGCCTTGGATTGCACCTAAAACACCTTTGCCAAGATATGAAATAGTTCCCAACCCTACAAAAGTCCACTTCATAACCACCAGAGAGCTTCTCGTAGAGTCCTTAGGAATCTGGGAGTGTTCACAAGATGATTTATTACCCTGACAACATCAAATACTTGACCAGTTGTGCATGTTCTTCTGTTCCTGAAGCACAAGAAATGTGAGGTGACAGCAGCAATTTAATTCCCTCATTTTCTGATCTTACCTCTGCTTTTAATTTCAACATATACACACAACTACTGTAACTTTCCTAATATCGAAGCTACAATATTATTCTATTAGAATTGTATCTTACAATGGAAGTGGTTTCATTTGAAAAAGCAAAATCAAGCTAATATGAAAGATTACCATCCAAAGCTGAAATAAACTTGGTTTGAATGAAAAACACAGAAACCGTGCAAATATGGATATTCTACTTACTTCTCTAACTATAAAAATCAGAAAATAAGAATTAAATACTGTATTTTAAATTTAAGTTCTGAAAGAGCTCAGTTCTGAATAAAGGCAAGATAATAGCACTACAACTGGATGAGGAAAAGAATATATTCTTAACAGTTAGTTCATGACACTTAAGTTCCTGGCTGAGGAGACCAAAAATGAACTGATTTAGAAATTTTTCTAAAATATTAAGGTTAAATGCACTAGTGCATGGGAGATAATCCACATTTCATCTTTAGGACCTGAACTAGGAACTGCCATTACTCACCCTCCACAGCACAGGGCACTGGCTAGTTCCCAACATGCTCTTTCTTCTCCCCTCAGGCTTCTTCCAAAGCTTCATTTTCAAGTTTATAGCTCGAAGAGTTTCGCTGGTACAAAGGTATGCAAACTTCTCACATACAAAACCCTCCAATTCCTTTATTCATGTTTTTAGGATGTATGTGGTACGTACAATTAACATTACACCAGCTATAGGCACCTCTGTTGCGAGAGGTACCTGGACACAAGTATCCCAGAGCACCAACACAAACACAGACACTACAGTATCACTTCGAAATTATTTCCCCCCTCCCCCCTTTTATTTTTTTCCTTTTTTTTTTTTTTCCTTTTTTTTTTTTTTTTAATTTTGACAGCTAGGACTTCTGAGCTGTTGGAGATTCTTTGTGGCAGATCCCCTAGTGCGGTGGCACTGGTGTAAGAAGGCTGCTTTAGACACTGGAAGGTCAGAATGAGAACTGAATGGGGTAACTGAAAGAGGTGCCATTTCCACTGCTGGAAGCTTGGCTGCTGTCTGGGTCCATAGCTGTTATGTCAGCCTCCTGGAGTCTCCTGCACAACCTCCTCCCTTACAGCTGGGTCCATACCTGACACATCAGGAGTTAAACAGTGGGACTGGAAAGACTTTAAAAAGGGATGAGCCTGAGAGAAATCTTTGTTCATTATGACAAGATCAAGGACAATCCCTTCAGGTCACTAGGCTTCACGTGTCCATCTGTTCCCTAAACTCATCCTTTTTTATTCCGATGCTCTGCTTAAAAATAAACCCAAACTACAAAAAGGTTCAGTTCCGTTCTGTACATGTTCTCCATTTCCAAAGTCATTAATCTGCGTTCAAACCTTCTCCTTTCGCTTCAATTTGGACACTTTCTTGACAGTTCCATTCTTGTTTAGAAGCTTCAAAACACGATCCTTGTGATCCAAGACCTTTAGCATGGAGTCTCGAGCCTCATTGATTTGATCCATCACGAGTTTACACCTCTGCATATTACCCTGAAAGGAAACACTTGTCATTAACTGCTGGATGCCTGCTCTAAGCAGTGCATTTCCATTTCCCTCCTGTGCCCCTTGTAAGTGATGACACAGGAAGAGAACCCACATGGGGTTTTTTAGGTCAGCTTTAGCTTTTACTAACAGCAGTAGGATGTGTTGTAACTAAGGGTGTGGTTTTGGGTTGGGAGGCCACAGGACCCACCTGTATCAGTTCATTGATTCGATGCAAGTCATCATCGGTTGCTGCCTTTTTCTTAGGAATGAGTCCCTCCTGCAGGGCAGTCAGTCTCTCATACACATCGTGCTCCAGGTTTGTCTAAAAGACATTAGCCCTTCATGAGAAGGGTCACTGCCAAGCTGGCAAACACTTGCCCATGTTAAAGTTAAACAGAAACAGTGATAATCCAGTCCCCTCTCAGCTGTTCTTGTCATTGATTCAGAAGATGGAGCCTCTGACAAAATGTGGCACTATCATTCCTTTTAACATCCTATTTGTGGGATTGCTCCTCTTCTGAAGAAACATGGATCCTACCACAACTGCTTCCCCTACTGCTCACAATACTATTCCAGGAATGCAGAGGTTTTGGGGAGTTTGGTGCTAAAATGCAGAGCACCTACCTCACCCCCAACCTGAAACAGAAGCATCCAGGAATGTGGATCAGTGCTGCCTCCTCAGATCAGCCGCACCATCCCAAACAGACGCTTCTTCAGACCTGTGCATCAGCAGGAGGGAGTTGCCAGTTTTGATCATCTGTACAAAATACATCAGCTCTTATGTCTGGATCAAAACCAACACTCCAAGTTTCCAAGCCACTTATGCCACGTTCCTGAGAAAGGGGAAAGCACGTCCCACTCCCTTTGGGCTCTACAAACCATCTCCTTTAGGGTATCCCAATGTACTGAGTTTGTAAGAACGTCTTCCTGTCTTACACAGCTTCATGTAACCCCATGTTGCAGGAAGCTCCAAGCCCCATGCACCTACCAGCTGTAGTAGCTGCGCTGCACAGAGATGGACCTTCCACCCTTGTGCACGACAGGACACACCCTTCTGATTGGCAATCTCTTGCAGCATGGCCTTCTTCTCTTCTGTCACCAGGAAACACAAGAATACAGTATTCAAATTTCAGGAGTTGGCTATGCCTCTCCTCTCAAAGAACAACCCAAGTTCTGCTCAACGTACATCCTAATAAATTAAAATGAGCAACATTTTGATTCATACAGGAAAGTGACTTCCCATCTGCCATGTACCTGACTGCTGCTCTGTTTAACAGGTTATCTGTACTTTCAGAAAAATTACATCATAACCCATTCTTTTCTCATTTAAAGAACTTAGTGCTCAATGTTTCCAACACCTGCCACAAACAAGTAAGTGGTCCATCTTGTACTACTTCTACTCTCTCTTAGGTGTACTTCCACAGTTGTGAAAACCCAGTCTGCTTAAAAATTCTAAAATGCTCGCTAAATGTCTGGAAGACAGTATGTGATCTCTGTTTTCCTTGTGTTAGGTAAAAAAGTCTGCTTTAAAAGCTCATTTGTTACTTGACAAGACTAGTTACACTAAATACAGAATGTTTGTGATTAAACTGGCAAGTGTTACGTGGCAAATGAGCAAACTCAGCTGGAGCCCATCACCACAGCACATCACTTTTATGAGGATACCTTTTGTGAGCAAGTTTCTATCACTGCACATAAGCAGATCTATCAACAACCACTCCATTTTTTCATTTACAAAACTACAGCTGATTCTGTGTAGCCTCCTTCTGCTCCATGCAGAGACTGACCTTTGACGCGGACGTCACTGTATCTCTGGAAGTGGTGGTACGCAGCTTTCCAGGGGTTGCGGTAATGACGGAGCAGCGTGATCGGCGGCCTGGGACGCACAGGGACGTATCTTACACCTTCCTCATCTACAAAAGGATCCAGAACCACATTGTTATTGAGGAGTAAAACCAGGTTGGCACCCACAAGAACTCCAGAAGCAGATCAGTAAGTGCCACCTCATACAAAATGTGTGTTGAGAAAATTCATTTTCCCTGACATTTTCCCAGCCCTATACATAAAGTGGTGAGGAACAGATACTTGGATTCTCTATTACTCATATTTAGGAAGTAGGAATGTGACAGGGCACCTTCTCTGAGAAACAAACAGAAGAGAAAATACAGACCCCCTGAATAAGATAAAAGACATCAGAGATGTCATTACCTATATACTCCTTTGGAGGGGACTTTCGCTTCTCTGCCTTCACCAGCAAACTTTTGGCAGTGGATTTCTCATCATCAGTGCTGTTTGCTTCCATCATGTCCCCTTCCTCTGTGGAGATGACATGCTGCTGCTTACGGGGCTTCTTTCTGGGTGAGGCACCAGGTGGCAAATCGCTTGGAGGCATGGAAAGATTGTTGGCCAGCAGTGCCAAAGATGGAGACACAGTACTTGTAGTCAGAGGAGGGACTGCTGAGAGGAAGGAAAGAGAAGAACCCACACCATCAGCAGTGGGAAGATAACATATTGATTGAACACTACACCTCCAACAGTAGCTTCTGTTTCTGTGAGGAGTGTGGCATGTACCAACAGCCCAGATATTAAGCCAGCAGTAATTATTAGCACAAGCCTGTAGGCAAAAGTCTTTAGTGTCTTATATACATGAAAAATGAGAGCAGAGCCAATTGTCCCTTAGTTGCTTCATATTTGAAGCTTATGTTAGTTTAATGTTACAAAAACGTCATGCTAACATCTGTGTTACTGTAAAACAACCCCTCTGTATGTACACCAGCACAGGCCACTGTCACAGTAAGCAAATCCCTACTCTCTCCTGATAGCAGAGTCAGATGGAATCAAAGCAGGACTGCAGGACACTTCTTGCAAGAGTCTGCTTGTACTGCCAAGCCCTCAGCACTGCTCAGCAGGTCACTGCACAAACCAGCACACCTGTGCAGCTGGCAGCAGTGTGGCAGGCAGTCTGAGGGAACACTCCCTGAACTTGGAGGGACAATCAGCCATGACCAAGGCTGCAGCACAACATTTCTGGGATGGGATCTCTTGACAAATTTGCCACAAATACCAGGAAGAGATGGAAATACCCCAAAGAGCTTAATGCTATCTGCCCATGCTTCATACACATCTGCAGCAAGGAGTTGCTTTCTCAGAGGACAACACACAGCTTCAAGGAGAGTGATAAAACCAACAGCTAAACATGAACTCTGAAACCCATGAACATGGGATGAATTCCTATCACTTTGCCGCTATATAGTGCCCAATAAGATCTGTAAGGATCTGAATTTACTGACCATGCCATTTGATAGCAACTGTGGCCAAGCTGGATAAGTAAGGCAATATAATGAACATTTTGGAAAGTTCTAGAGAAAAATATGCATGAATCACATGAGGGCCCTAGGAAGTCCTACTTTGGCCAGAAGTTCCTCACATACAAGAAAGGCCACTGGACAGTAGGATGTGTAAACAAATTAAATTTAACTGAGCTGTTCCACAGCATGTTGGTACCACTGCTGAAAATGGACATTTTAGGCAAGAAATTCACACAGACTCTTTGGAGTTGGATCATTTGAACATGTACAAAGCAGCCACAATAACTAGTGATTTCATGGCAGATTAGGAAAAAGCAAAAAAGATCTTTATGAAGCATATAGGAACTCTGGTACTCTGTGCTACCATGGAATAGATGTCCTTTCATTTTCAAGATGAAAACGTTGAAATCCTCTTAATTCCTCTGCTGTCTAAAAAACTAAAAAAGCAACCTGATGATTCCCAGCCACCTACCAGATACTGGTCGCATGATGTCCATGGGCTCCATTTCCTCTTTGATTTTGATCTCTGGTACTACAGGGCCCAGCACCGCTGACAGGGCCCCACTCATGGTGGATGGAGGAGCAGGTGCTGCCACGATGGTGGTGGAAGTTGGTGGAGCAGCTGGAACAGCTCCTGGAATGGCAGACAGTGCTGCTGCAGGCTGGGAGGTGGGACTGGCGGCCGCGATGATCGTCGGAATGGCAGAGGGGGGCTGCTGGGAGGTTGGGGGCACTGTGATGGTTGGCTGCTCACCACCTTGGTTACACACTGCCTCCATAGACACAGGCACTGGGGTGGCCATGGACACGTGGATTTCAGGCTTTGGCTTGCCACTGCAGCACAAATAAAAGCAAAGCAAAGTGAGGGGAACTGTATCTCAGTTGTATGCACCCAGCACTAAAGGAACGAGCCAAACTGGAGTCAGGTTATCCAGTTCTTCCTGTACACCCACCTGGCTCAGTTAGGTGTTTAAGAACAGGAGAAGGCTTAATCTCAGTTATATTTCCTCCTTCTCTCCCTTTCTAATCCTTTGTATTGATTACAGATACTACTTTTTTCCATTCACTGTGACAAACAAATCTCATGACTAATTCCAGGTAACTTCAAAATACTTGTAAAAGGATCCAAACAGTTTTACAATGCAGCCAAAAGGAACTTTTACCCAAAACTGTACTGGCCCCATCCTCTGCAGG